TAAACTGAACTCTCACGTGCTAAAGGAGAGAACTCTCACTCCCACGCGTAGGCGCCGGGAGAACTATATAAGGTCTCCGTAATTCAATGAGCAAATTTGGTACAATATTACGAAAGGTGTTCAAATTAAATGACCTGACCAAGCAAGACGTTGGTTCCAAGGTTCAAACCCAACCATACACAAATGACCCAATTTTCAAAAGTCAAGTGAGGACACAGCACAGCCACAGAGGTACTATGACTGACCCAATCCTGTCCTCTACTTCAGCCTTCAGGGGATAATTTGGAACACTCTTTTTTGAATTTCATATTTGGAGAATTATAATTGAGTCTCACAGGAAAAAAAATAATTATAAAAAAATCCTAATAATAATCTCAACAGTTTATAACAACAAGTTCTACAGTAAGAATGATAATTTTTTAGACTTATTTTTTAATTATTTTTTTTACTTAGGACCTCATTATAATTCTCATTTTCATATTTTACCTGAAAACAACAGTGTAGGAGTACTACTCTACTAGCACAACTTGTCAGGTATCCTTATTATAACGTTAATTTTTAATTCTTATAGAGTGTTTAATGATTTTTTTTTAATTTTATCCTTATTTTTTAGCCAAAAATTTTTTTATCCCTATTTAATCTTTGGAGGAAAGTGAGCAAGATGACAGGAGTGGGATCGCTCGTGAATTCTGAGGGAAAACAAATTTCATTAAGTAAATTTAAAATATTTTATGAATTTAATGATTTCTTAACTCTTTTTTTTTTTGGATTAATCCAACGGTATTCAGCTCTAACAATAATTGACTAGTTCGGTTCGTGAAGATGCATGTTGATAGTGGGCAAAACTCACAAAAATAAGCATAGCAGAAGACATCTACTAATAATTGAAAATATGTTGTCCATGGTCAAAAAAAGTTTTATTCATTAAAGTTGAACCTGCTCAAAGACCTAGCTCCTTGAACAAATTTCAGATAACTTTGCGTTATAAAATTTTCAATATCAAATAAATAATTTTCTCTCTTTTCTATTTTTAAATATTTTCAGCCATCCTAAATATTACTTGCTCTTTCAGTCCCAAGTAAATGATTCATTTTGTAATGCAACTTATTTTGTAGTGTACTCTAAAATGAGTTTTACAATTACGACCTAAAAATATATCTTGATTAAAATATCATTTATTATTATCTCCCGTGTTAAAATTTTCTTTCCTATGATGCCCTTTTACATGTTCTTTCACTAAAGGTAATGAGTCACCTTCAGAAATAAATAAGAGGTCCCACGTGTTAATCAGTTTTGCATAAAAGGTCAATATACTTAATAGACTTGCATAAAAGCCAACCCGCCATTTTGAGGAGTTAGGAAATTAATTTTGCTCATACAAAAACTTAATCCATTTTTATTTATATTCATCATTTTTCAAATAAATTAATCTAGATATAATCTAATGTAAACCGTAACATCAAGAAATTTTAGTAAAACCATCTTACATTTATTAAAATTAAATAATTTAATTTTTTTAACCTGTCAAAATTAGTTAAATAACTCTTATATAACTCTTTTTTTGCATTAAAAAAACACTCTTTTTTTTACCACGAGACTCACCCTACCAACATAACTACTGCTAACATATTTCTTAAGCATATAATCAGGTTAAGGCTGTCTATTAATTTTTTTTTTCCTCCTTCCCTTATAGCTAGGGTTGGGACCCAACCTAGGGACACCATTCCAGAACACCGAAACATGTCCTCCATACTTGCACGGCTAAGCAACACCTTGCTTTTATGGCATACACATGTTCTTGTCCTCTCCAAAAGATCCCACTATTCTCTACCCACCAAATCATTCACAAACACATAACATGTAATAATCACCATAATAAATTCATAATTCACAAAAAGGGATCTATTACATAACTCCAAAAGTCTGAGTCACTCACTGCACAATGAACAATAATATTCTGCTGGTAAAAGTCACACACACACGTACACATGGAATGAACAAAAAGCTAATCAGGTAAAGGTAAAACTCAGATCAGATAACATCATCAATATAGTAGCCCCTTAGCCTCAGTAGCATGTCATATATGTTCTCTTAGTATAGTGCAAAATGGAACAAGAAGCTCTCAAAACCCTGAGAATATGGCTGCAAATATGCAGACAAGCAATGATCCTGCTGATATTTGAGCCATGGCTGGTGCTGAGTTTCCGGGAGATGGTGCCGGTACTGCTCCTGTTGGAGATAGCTCACTCCCGGAGGGCCCGGACATTCCAGGGGCTGCAGCAGATGATGATGGAGACATTCCTAAGGAAGAAGAAAGGAAGAATCAGTAATCAAGCACATTACCCAGTTTTTTCATGTAGTAATGGTGTAATTCTACAAAGAACTCTGCTTCTCAAGAAGTTATACTTTCTCACTGCTCAATTCATCTCTAAATTCTAACTAACTAATCTATCACAAACCACACATAATTGTGGGTAAATACTTCAGAGAGGGCAAGCACATTGATTAGCATGCAAAAGTTGACATTATTGCTGCAACTAAGGAACATTAATCAAATTGTATCTTGAATTGTTAATCAAATCTGCATTTCAAAAGTTATCTGCTAGAGCATACCGTAGAATGAAAAATTGATTACTTTATCATAAATCAAAAGAGAAAGTTAAATTCCAAGGGATGGAGAAATGTCAGGTCAAGAAGATACCAAGATAATACAGAATCAAGCTGGGCCCATCTTTGACTAGATTTTGGTCATGTTTTCGTAACAAGTTAACAACAAAATAATTGGCCTTATATCTCATCATTTGCTATAGGTAGGCTCAATTACATTAAGCAGAAGAAGACATGAAAGAAATCTGTAAAGCACAAGGACAAGCTATGATATGGTGACACTTTGGCCGAGTTACTCTCTGTGAAAGTAATATCAAGTAGATAATCAGTGAAAGAATGTTAACCCTACAAAATCACGAGGCTTCTGAAGCCATTCCAACTTGGCATATGACTTCAGTTTAATGTTAGAACCAAACCAAAGTGTAATAAAGAGTATGAAAATAATTCAATTTATGACCGGGAGAACCTACCAGGAGCACCAGCAGGAGCTACAGACACTGCAAAACAACAAAGCCACAGTTAGTTAATATCTGAGAAGAATCTAGAAAGGGATAAAACATCAAAGCAGACCCACAAAAAATTAGTTATTGCAGAAATGTAAGTTTTGACACATGTTCCCATTAAATATTTCATCCATACATTTTAGATATGCAAGAGGAAAAAGTTTTCACCACCAGAACGTCCCAATATTCCCCGGATAATCTCAAAATTCATTGTAAACAATTGTTTTCAAGAACATACACCCATAAAAAACAACCATGCTGTGAAAAGTTTGAGATCAATTCTTCATCCCATGCAGAAATACCATTCCCCCCATAAAAAAAAAAAAAAAAAAAGCTCTAATCAAAAAGGGAAGGTGTTAGGTAGAAATCTAGATTGATGTATTAATAAAAGGAGGGAGGGCAAAAATCAAGATTAATACATTCAGTGTTCAAAACTCCAAGAGTACTCAGAGACTCAGGGTGTCTCAGACATGAATAAAAATTAAAGCTTTCCGCAACAGAACAAAACAGAACACCAAATATTCTGAGAAAATACCGAAACAGAGAACTGTAACCTCAGAAACAAGAATCTTCACAAAAAGAGAAATCAGAGAAAACCCACAGGAAAAAATTATAAAGAAGATGAAGAAAAACTCACATCCACAGTTAGAAAAAGAAGGGGCTGAGACTTTGCAAGCGGCAGGAAGAGTCATGGCCTTTGTGATATTCAAAGAGACACCAAATTGAGAACTGCTCTTGAAGGCTTGACAGATACAGTCAGGACTGGTCTTAAGCACAGTCTTGAAGCCAGAGCAGCATGAACCCTGTGGCTTCATGGTCGTGCTTCCGTTGGAGACGTAGGACAAGCAATCCGCCATGTTCGATACCAGGCTCAAACAGTCCGGTGAAGGCGACGGCGCGTGATGTGCAGAAGACGACCCACCATGAGCCAGAGCGACGGCCCAGGCGGCCAGAAGGCAGAGAGCGAGGGAGGTCTTCGCTGCCATTGAGAGAGTGAGAGAGAGAACAGAGAACAGAAAGAGAAGAGTGGGTGTGTGTGAAAAATGGGAATGTGGGACTGGGAAAGTGGAGGACTTAAATAAGGCGAAGTGGGAAGGATTGGGGAAGAAACGGGTTGAAGACGAATAATTGGAATTTGGAAAAGATGGTATTTTTGGGGTGGAAGAGAGAGGGGCGGGGGTTGTGCGAGACGTTGCTTTGCCATGCGGGCACAGTACAGCCGGTGAGATGAAATGCGTTTGTCTACGTGTCACCCAATATCACCCTCGCTGAAAGACATTATTCTGAAAAATGATCGTGTCAATTTTTTATAGACAAAAGTTTGTGAACAGGATGCTCACGTCAAAAAAACAGAATTGAGGGATATTTAAACCCATCATAATTTTGTAGGATATATGTCAAATTCGCATGTTATTTCTGGTTTTAATTATAAAATTTTATTTATAGTTTATAACAAAAATATTTCTTACCAATTTGATCAACATTTGGTGGCTACCATGTCAATGTTTTTATTTCTTCGAGAAAATCAATTTAAACCAAATAAATGGGACTATTTTATTTTTTAAAAAGTTATGTATATACATGTATTTTCTCCCAGCATATATACACACATATATATTATTAAAAACTTCATTATTTTTTTATATATGGTATTTTTGAGGCCTTTTTTTCCTTTACTAAAATACTACTTTATTACTTTAATATTCTATAATTATTGCATTATCATAATATATCATGAAGTTTAAATTTTTAAATAAAATCAAATCAAACTAATATTGAATCAAAGAAATAAGAAATGGAAGTGAGAGGAGAAGGGTCTAAAAATGAAAGATATTTTCCCCTTCCAAAATACTTACTATCTCTTTTTCTTTATCTAGAAACAATGTTTACATTTCTTTCTTTATAGTAGTCTTTTTCAAAAATGAAATTGAATAAATTTTACTCTTCCAGTCCTAAATATAAGACCCTTTTCGTAGTATCCTAAATATAAGACTCTTTTCGTAGTGTAAATTGTGCTACGAAAGGGATCTTATGTTTATTAATTTTATTCGTAATATTTTTCCTCATTTGGTGAAACCATTTTTATAATGGAGAGGGCTTGCAAATATTATTTGGCACGATATAATTAATCTCTTTTTATTGTCATAATTTTCCCCATTAGAATAATTCATTCTTTTTTTTTATTTTTAGAGTTATGTAATTATTAGCTGGCAAACAAAAAGAGTTATGTAATTATTCTATATCTTATGCTACTTTGTAATTTTTTTAAGAATTAGGCTACATCTAGTATTTGTTCTCAAGTAATTTTACAGCCCTAAACTAAAAAAGTGTTTGGCTATTACCAAAAGCACTTCCTAAAAGCATTTTTTTTATAAAACGAGACAAACTCCTCTACATATCTATTTCATAAATCATAAAAATACTTTTAAAACCATGATTTGGTTTTCATCTAAACACCCCTTAATTTGTGATTCATCAAGATCATTCTAAAATATTTTTGTAGTTATACTTAATATCCTAAATTTATGACGTTTATTGCTTCTAAGAAGAATATTTTAAGAATAAAATTATATATAATTTAAAATATTAGGTAGTATTAAAAAATATATTTTAGGATGCTTAATAAATTATAAATTAATTTAATATACTGAGTAGTATTAAGAAAATACTTTAAGATCTTTGATGCCTCATCTTTTAATATCATTTTCTTCTTTTACTTTAAAAATGGTAGGTTAAAGCCCTTTTTACCGTGATCAATTAAGGGAAAATCCTAAAAAAGTGATAGTTGAATTTTAAAATTTTAAATCAGTATTAATTACTACATTCATAAAGAAAATGACTATATTCAAAGAGCAAATGACAACACATTTTTGTGGTAATTCCTGATTTGGAATTTTGAAATTCAGTAGTCACTTTTTTGGGATTTTCCCATCAATTAATGTCCCTCTTTTTTAAGTTTCAAGTAATTGTGAACCATTCAGTCCAATGATTCTCGCTGTTTAAAAAATTCACCACCCCAAATCGTGACACGTATACCCTTCTTTTCTCTAAGATCGTTTCTCAAAACTGCATCATAAATGCGCTCTCAATTAGAGTCGGGAATCAGGGCCGGCCCTTCAGGGCTAGCGGGCTTAAAAGGGCCGGCCCTCCAGAGCTGAAATTTTAAAAATACCCCAATTTGCTAGGCCCGGCCCTTAAACTACAGGGTCAGGGCCGGCCCGCGGGCTTTTGGCCCGTTTAAGAAAAAATACTATTTTTTATATTTATCATATTTTTTATAAAAATATAAAAATAAATCAATGAAATTATTAATAAAAGACATAAATATGAATAAAATTAAGTCACAAATATAAAATATTATCATATATAAATATTCATCAACATCTAATAACATCTAAAACATTCATTAACAAGATAACAACATCTAAAAGTTTTATCTATAATATAATTGTGCAATAAATAAACACTATCATTAATCTTTTGAAACTTCATCATCACTATAATTAATTATTTTTCTTCATAAGTATGCTTTTCTTTCATAACAAAAATATCAAGTTTTTCTTCTTTATAAGAATTTTATTTTTAAATTTTGCAATCTAACTATTATTTTACTTTAATGTGAGAAACATTGTTGTTGAAACTCATGAATTTCTAATTCAAATTATAGAATCACAAGTTATATAAGTATAAAAATATTCTATTATCAAATATATATATATATAGTTTAAAAATATTAACGCATATAATATAAATCAAATCATTATTAAAGTCCAAATTAACCCATTTTTTAAAAATTTAATTGGATAAATTATTGTCTAAAATTAAATTTAATTTTAAAATGATAATAATAACTAAATATTTGAAATATTATTAACAATGTAAAAAATTAATAACATTAATATTATATAAAAAATTTAAAAAATAAAAAAAATTATAAAATGGCTTAAAAGGGCCGGCCCGCGGCCCTCCAGGGCCGGCCCTTTTAAGCCCTCGGCCCTCCAGGGCCAGCTCTCCAGGGCTTATTTCTCATTTTAAGAGAAAAATATTAAACCCGGCCCTCATAATTTCAGGGCCTAAAAGGGCCGGCCCGACGGGCTCGACCTGTTTTCCCGGCTCTACTCTCAATAGCCAAACAGCCTCTTGGTCAAGGAAAAAAAGCCAAACAGTCCACACACTGTTTATGATGAGGTGTGTAATTGTAATTATGATTTAAAAGTAATTTTACAGTATACAAAATAAATATATATAAATAAATTTATTTTAATTTGTAAAAAATACTTTTAAGGATTAAGCCAAGGAAGATTGCGGGAAAAAAAAGAAAGAAAATGAGGAGCCGTTGCTTCAAAAAAGAATTTAATGGAATACTATTATAAAAACATTTGTTTGTTATAAAGACTAAAAAGGACAATTATGAAATAAAGGTACATTTTGGAAAAATGTGAAATAATATTTTTACCCTTGTGAACGCAAAAAAGAAAAAATTGAGGGTATAAAGAGTACAGACCTTCAATCATTAGTTCACGAACTTCAGGCCAAAAAAAAAAAAATCATTAGTTCACAAACGCCGGAATTCATATTACAAACAAGAAATTGGTTTCTTTATGTTTCTTTAACAAAAGAAAACGTTTAGAAGTGTTAGGTCGGAAACTAATTAGGGTCATATATTCTAAGTTCAAAAAAACACTTATAAAGATACTTATAGACCTCGTAGGTTATAATATACTCTTCTGGTCCTATTTATAAAATAGAAAAAAGATATTTTTTTGGTCTTATTTAGAGGGTATTAAGAGAAATTTTTTGTGTGAATACACAATTTTACTCTTCATTTATCATTGTGTTGATTTTGTTTACATGAGGTATAATATATATCAAATAGGAATAAAATTGAAAAGTTATTGAATTTTAAATAAAAGTTAATGAAATTTGTTTTTCTTAATCTATATAAAACATGTTAGAAGTGACTTATAATTAGAGCCAAATAAATATCTTCTTACTAATTAGACCAACATTTTGCTAACAAAATATGTTAAGTGTTATTTGAGCCAGACAACTTTATCATGCATTGAAAAGTTAGTGATTATTTGTAAATTATACATAAGGCGGATAATTTAGATTTTATTTGCATTTGCTTAACCTACTAAGTTTTGTTAAGGTCAAGAATATCAATATCAATATGAAATATGAAATATGAAATATAAATCAGCCCAAAATTTTTATAATAAAAAAATATTACCGATGATAATTAGACAAAATAGAATAACCGTTAGAGGAACTACTAGCAGTACCTTGATAATGTTTCAATTTAAGTGCTTGTTTGGCATCAATTGTGTAAATATTTATAAACGCGAAAACTCTTGTTGCAGAGAAGGCTTAAACTGATTAACAAAGACATTTGCAAAATATCATCAACTAATGCAGGCTGGTTTGAATTAAATTTGGTAAAAATAAATTTTATTCCCATTCACCTTTGCAAATTGAAATTGAGATAAAAATCAAATAATATATTGTGATTTATATTTGAATAAACTTTTTAATTTAAGAGAAACTTATTTTGATGATGCAATAAAAACTTCGTTTCATAACTCACAAGGTTGTAAGTTTGAATTTTGCTACTAATATGAAGACTTTGTTACTGGCTGATCTATAAATATCTTTATAAGCACTATCTGAACTTGAAGCCATACCCAGACCTAGGTGAACACACAGAACCCAACTCACATAAACTTTTATTCATAAGGTTCAAATTTGAGAAAAAAAAAGAAAAGAAGCCAAAAGCCAAAAGCCAAAAATAAAAAAGGACTCTCCCAATCATTATTATAAGCATTAAATAAGTAATTCACATATAATAGCAATTAATTAAAAGTAATAAATATGTTAAAAATATACTTTTATTTTCAAAAATGCTTTTATAATAAATAAGAAAATGGACGAAAAAAGAATGTATGAGAATATGTGATAAAAGAGAGTATAACAAATAAGAAAAAGTAAATAATTAAGAGACAAAATTGGGCAAAATATATTAGATGTTAAGATAAACTCATATTGAATTTTATAAAATGGATCACATCTCTTTCTAAATTTAAAACTTATAAATATGACTGGAGGAAGTATTTCGAATTTCAGATGGTTTTTTGCTAAAAAGATCAGTTAATCTTTCAGTCAACTTTTTTTTTTCCTCCCATTTTTCCTATACATGGTTAGGATGAATTGATCGGCTAAGAGTGATCATGCCATGTCATCTTGTAGAACAGTAAAACAATAACGTGCCATGGTAACAATAAATCAATCAAAATTAATAGCATTGCTTTTCTTTATCTTTATGATAAAATTGATGTGAACTCATAGACTATATTAAGTCCAATGAAATAAACAGATTAATCAAGAAGATTTAATTGAGGTAGTTGTACGATTCTATCAAGAAGCAAGAATAACGTTTGATAATGTCAAAAGAAGGCTTATGGCCTCATAGAACGACGTGTCTTGTCACAAAGAAAGCTGTGTTACCTGTTTTTCGCTTTTAGTCAATTTTTACTTCTATTTACATTTTATCAGTTTTATAATTAACGATTAATCTTTGGGGAAAATTACTAAAAAAATCTCCAATTTCAAGATTTATTGCCTAAAGTACCCAAAATTTGTTTAATAACTTGGCTGCAACTGATTGCAACTCTGTTACATATCCACTCAAAAGACCTGAATCTTTACTACTGGACAATAAATTTTGTAATGGAAAATTTTTTAGTAATCATTCTTCAGTAAAGCTTCTTTTTTTTTTTGGTCAGCAGTTTTGAGTGAAGCTCTACTTCCTTTGTGTCCTTCTTATCCATTTAAAGTATTATTTTTTAAATTGTCCCTTCTTTTGATATTTTCTAACAAAATAAACAACCTAACCTAATTAATGAATTTCACTTGCTATTGAAATTTGAAAGCATGATCTGATTTTAATTAAATTTAATTTCCGTGTAATTTTTAATAAATCCATATTTATACACGCGCACACTATTGTTTTAAAACTGTTCCATTGTCATTCTAATTTACCCAAAATTGTATTATTCATAATTTATAAATATTATAACTTTGTGATAAAATTTGGAGAGAATTATCAAGAGATCCCAAAAAAATTTAATTACCAAAACGTCTTAATGATAAGTAACCAATCTCAACCTATTTGTCATTATTTACTCTAAAACTTATTATTTATTCTTGTGAATGGACTGTAAGGTAATTAAATTCTTTTCTTAGCAGCTGATTGTAATTCTCCCTGCGATTTATTGTTTTTTATTCTGACATATTCATACTATTAATATATATTTGGATATTATGGTAAAATAATTGTGACAACCATTTTCCATCTCCAATAAATTTCCACGAAAGCGTACATTTTCAAGTAGTTGATGTGATAATACCTTCTTAACTAATCGGCATGCTACATTTCAACCAAACTAACGCCAATGCATACAAACATACGCATACAAATTCCAATTTCTTATGGGCATAATTAATTTCAAAATAAAAAATATAATTTTATTTTCGCTAGTAAAATGATTTTATTTTAGGATGCAATATAAGAAATGCATCACTAACAAAGGCTAGTTTTAATAGATATTGACTATTAAATAATTTTTTTATTACAATATGGATGACTGAGATTTGTTTGCTAGTGATGGAGTTTGTTTTGATTCTTAATATGAAATTTTAATTTATTTTATTTTTTGTATTTATTAATTTTTTTAAAAATAATTTATCTAAATTATAAATCAATATATAATTTAATGTTATATAATGATATTTTAGGAAGGTCATGTTATATTTATTAGAATTAAGTAACTTATTTAATTTTATTAATCATCTCAAATTAGTTAAGTAACTTGCACATTAAACCGAGAGGTAATATTCAGACCCGAAAATGTAGCATTTGAGCTTGATATTTATAGGCCTATGGAAAAATACATTACAGATTCATACTTCTCACCAGGAAAAAAAATTACAGTAATATATTTATTTTTTCTTTTTTGATGGATAATATTTTTATTTTTATTTGTGCATAGAGAATTAAATAAAAATAAGATTCAACCATGTGGTCCAAGTGCCTTTGAGACATTTCTAGAAGAAATGGTGGCTATTATGGCACAAAATATGAAAACAACTTCTGCAGTAGTGTGAGGACCACTTTCAGTGAGAGGGCAATATTTAGAACAAAAAATTACCATCCACAATAAGTTCAAATATTCATATTAACATTTTTTTAATTTTGAAAAAAACAACAAAGGAAATTATTGTGTCATATTTAAATTTTAAATGCTTTGAAATTGAAGTGTTTTCAAATTTAGTACTTTTGATGTAAATATTTTTTATTCCAAAAATTTAATTTTATTGTAATTCTTTCTATCAAATTGCAGTAGAAAAAGTTGATTGGGTTTTCTACAAAAAATCAATCAAAATTAGAACTATAAACTAATCTAAATTTAAATTAAGTTGGACTTCAGTTTCAATAAAAATTAACAGTACTAAAGAAAAGAAGTTAAAATGGTCATAAAAAAGAGAAGCTAAAATTAGAAGAGAAAACAAGAAGAAAAATATTCTTTTTCTGTCTAGATAGCAAAAGAAAATAGCCACTTTAGCCAGATGCTTTCTCTCCAAAGTATTCCTTTCTTCAAAAGTTATAGTTGTTACTGCAAAAATAATTCACAAATTCTTCTCATTAGGAGGAATTTTGTTTCGGTCATGATGGGGTACTAAGTAAAGTAAATATGAACGTGTCACAAAAAAAAAAGTAAGTATGAACGTTCCCTTCAGTGATAATTCAAACATTAATTTATTATATTATTTTTGTTTTTTAATATAAAAGTTAGTTGATTAATTTGAATAGATTAAAAAAAACTAGTTAAGTTAATTATTTATAATAAATAGATATTATCTTTTCTAAAATATCTTTAGTAATCAAGTATATTGACTAGAATTATTATTATTACAAGAATTATTTTTAAAAAATAAATAAATCTAGAAAATAAAAAAGATTAAAATCTTATATTTAAAATTAAAATAAAAATCAAACTAATTTTTATATTAATAACTAGAGCTATTATTAGTTAACATTTGCTTCTTCTTCTTTTTTTTTAAACGATATCCAACTCTCAATTATTGCAAGGCTAATCATTCTTTTGCTTCTTCTTCTTTTTTTTCCCCCTCTCTCCCCCTTTTTTTTAAAATTTTTTTTTTTTACATCCAAACATTGCATTGGCCTTAGGTTCTCCCCCCCGACACGATTCATAATAAATCAATGAGTATTAAATGTAAAGTAATGACCTTTTATTGTACATCGTACGATGAATCTGACGGTTGAAATAGGAACAGAAGGAAAAGGTTCCAGAAAATGCATACCATATGGATCAACTTTGGGACTTTGTCTGTGAAATTTTCCCGGCATTTGGCAGCTACAATAATAATAATAATAATATTGAATTAATCATCACAAATGCGGTCAAAACAAAATTAATCATCACAAAAAAGCTATTTTTTTAATATATTACATGGGCCCAGGAAAATAAAGTTTCCTTAGTGGGTGGGGAGTAGAATCAGATTCTCGGGAAAGGCATTTCTTCTCTTTGCCCCTTTTTATGTGAATTTCTGTTTCAGTGGAAATTCCAGAAGGATCCCATTCCTCTCACGTCATTGGTTCTCCATTGCTAGAGACGAACAGTCTCTCACACTAATTAAAAATAAATAAATAAATAAATAAATAAATAATAGGATTAATTTAAAAAAAAACCTGAAAAAATTTAAATTTTTAATAAAGCAAAACATATGTTAAAAACAACATTAATAAAATATCATAGTCAGATTGAGTACAAGCGACTTATTAAGGCCTCGAATTAGAATATTTTTAGATGAAAAAACATGCTTAAAAATGCCTTCATTTAAGGTCCAATAATATTTAAATCAATATTAATTAATAATAACACATACTCGATGTTTTTACCAAAAAAAAACAAAGCACATATTCGATGCTTTTAGAAAAACAAAAATTAATTAATCAGGTATATATTGAAGGAGTGGTCCCTTGCTAAGCGAAGCTCTAATACTCACATGTGTAAGCTAGGCCTTGTGGGCAGCCCATATTTAAATCATAGCATATGACACAGGGCTTGGACCGTTATGGTTATGTGTTTTTTATGTTTTTGGAGAAAAGTACAAACAGGTCTCACGTAAGCAAATTAGTCACTAATAAATTCTTCAAATTTCACTTTAGTTTGATTAATAGGTCTCAAGAAACCTAGATATCATTTGTGCATGATGAAAAGACCTTCTTATCCCCAATCAGATTTGAGTAAGAGAGGTTAGACTTTAGAGAACCTCATGTTCGATGCCAGATATGAATGCAAAGGATATGAGTGGCATTAGACATCATACTACCTCCTATCCTTTTTTGTCCCCCTCGATAAAAATACTACCATCAATTTAAATATAAGACTTTTTTATATTTAGGAGCGGAAATAATATAATAGCTAATGTATATATTTGGTCATTTAACTTTATATAAGGTTTCTGTTTAGGCCTTTAATTTTAAAAGTATATTTTTAGCCATTTAATCCTAAAATTGTTAGTCTTAAATAATAATTTTTTTGTAACAATCATGGTTGTTTTGAAAATTAAACTTAATATGTAATGTTTTATCAACATTCAAGAGCTCAATATTATTGTTTTTTGTTAAGGATTCTAGAGTTAGAAGACTAAAAGTTTACTTTTTAAAGTTAGGGGACTAAAATAAAACTTTATGTAAAGTTAAAGAACCCAAAGTATACTTTAGCCTAATATAATTAAAGGATTCTAGTTTGCGAAACAGAAAAAATTGAGAGAAAGAGGAGTTTCGGAAGTATAGCATCTTACATTAGGCTGCAACATTTAAGGACTTCAAATGAAATTTCAAATAGCCAAACTCAATAGAACATAAATCTAATTTGCCTCTAGCCCTTTTATCCTTATCTTTGAGTCTGGGAGATTTCAAGATTAGGACTTATGTATGATTTGAAAAATTTAGAAAGTTTCTGCAGTTTGTTTTGGATTTATATGAGTTATTAGGACTAAATAATGAGCCTGATTTCTTTTTTTGTGAGTATGAGTTGAGTGTTTAAAAGTTAGGGCTTGGTGTTAAATTGGGGTTTAAATTAGATCATGATGATTTCACCAATTAAGCTTGGATTTAATGATTAGGTTATGATTTTTTGAGGTTAACTTAAACTTTTTTTTTAATAAAAAGACAATATATATAAATAATAAACAACAGAGTTTAAAATACTACACTAGAATAACTGGACATAGAAAATAGAAGGAAGTTCCTAACTATACCACCATTAGAAGTGTAACAACCCCCATAAATCAGGGTAAATAAACATTTTTAAAACGATAATTGCTTTAAAAGGTTAACCATGGTAGGAAGGACAAACCTAATCAAATAAAAATCTACCATAGTCAATAACAATTCAAATCTTTAATAGAGTAGTAGCTACTGTTCTAGAATAGTAAAGATAGGTAATCAAATCAGAAAGGATCAACATTTGATTTTTCATGCATATATCAAATCCATCAGTAATACTCTGGAATCTTAAATACAATTAAGACCAATTGTAAATGGGCTAGGGCATTTTAAGTCCACCAAAATAACTGCCACTACTGCCCATTATCAATTGCAATCAAAATAACAATCACCTATATCCAAAAAGGGCTCCGCCCAATAGTACAAGTCTAGAATGCAGCGGAAAGGCTATGATTATGTTAAGTATAACAAAAAGGCCCTAAAGTTTGGCAATATACATCAGTCAAATCATGTATATCAAAATAGAGGCTATACAGAGTGGAAAGGAAAACTTAAGCCTCGGACACCTTCCCCTTGGGACCAACACTTGAACCCTCACCTGAAAAATGTTAAATAATCACGGGGTGAGTCAAATTGACCCAATAACCACAATTCCAATTCAACAAGTATCCAGGGAGTAATTACAAGATAGTTAAGCAGGCAAAGTACATTTTCAAATAACATATAAGTTAAAATATCTTTACAGAAAATAATATATAATAATTCAAAAAGTAACTTGAATGCACAGAACTTCATCAACCATCCTTGTAACCTCCTTGTAACCTCTGACAGAACCCATGGGCTATTCACACATAACAGGATTCGTCTCTTTTACAAGACTGCACCAAGCTCTCCAATAATGAGGTGTAACCCGGCCAAAAGTTACATAGCTCATATCAGACCATGGGTTCCCTTTCCTTAGAATATGGAAAGGTGTCATGTCCCTTGGGCTGACCCTTGACCCGACCAAAGGAAGGGTGATACCGAGGGCCCTAAGAATGTTAATGCCAACCACTGAGCGCCAAGTGGCGGCTATACCACGTGATATAAATAATCAGACCTCCCACAACTACATTTCAGCACAACCAACACAACACAATCCAACCATCCAATTCCATACAATTTCATATCCATAATGTATTCTCAAATTCAATAATCAAATTTGTTCAACATCAACAAGATATTCATAAGATGAAATAATTCATGCCCACTTAACTAATAAATTTAGCGAAACATAAATCTTGATATAGATATATAAATTACTTTTCATACAAAAATCACCATAACACATATTGATAACATTTATAATATCAACACATGCTTATAATCACATCAACAAGCATACAAGGTAAATTAGAAAGTGGTTACCTCAAATTCTTGACACAAGAACTAAAAGTAGGAGGATTCAAGACCTAAGAGCCTAAACCAAGCTCACTCTACAATAATAAATTGATAAACATATATTAATATAAAAAGACTAATTAATATAGCATTAAAATAGTTTATTAACTAAATCCCCATAATGGGCTTACCTAAAAAAAATGTATCTTTAGGAAAAATAATAATTCATCTATTCTTCCAAGTGACAATTTCTAGTACTTCCCAACTCTATTTCTCTCATTAACATTATTAATAAGAATAATCCCTTCAAATCATCTAAAAACCTCCAAAAAGTGCTTACTTTAACTCTTAGAAAAATAACCATATGTCAATTATGCCTTCAATCATTATTAAAATCCTATTCCCTTCTCCCATTAATCATTTCCCATTTATTAGAATCAATAACTTATAATATTTTTCTCAATTTACTCCAAACACCCAACTTCCACTAGTTAAAGTCTCTCCAAGAATCATCAATATTACTATTTCAACAACAGTCCTCCAAGTTTAAGCATTGGATCCTCAATATAACCTCAAATGAACTCAACTAAGAGATAAATTTCGAAATTAATATCATCATTAACACAAATAATAATTTCCCAACCAAACCCTAACTTATATTGTCTCAAATCAATCATCCAACTAAAAATCTAAGTCATAATGCTTCTATTCTAACCCCATAAGCTCCATTAATATCATCAAAATAAGTTAGAAACCTTAAAAATTAGAAATCTAACAAGCCCTAATAGGCTTTATTTTCAGCCATAAACTTACAGAAATGAAAAAGAAAAAGTTAAATAAAAATAATAGGATGAAAATAGCTTACCTAAATATCTTATATGTACTCAAGTAGAGTCTTTCCTTTCTTACACACTCAAACTACCTCTCACGCTCACTCACTGTCGCAGCGAACCAAAGGAACAGCGAAGACGAAACAGCACGAAGGCTGCTGGACGGAAGTAGGGACAATGAATTGAGTGTGTGCTTTTTAACAAAATGTCAAGTGTGGGTTACGTGCCCACACTTGATGCCTTAAAATTTTTGTTTTTTTTAGCTTGAAGGCCACGGCCCAGGGGATTAAACCCCTCCTTTCCAACTAGTGGTGGGCGGCCCACGTGCCACTCACTTACCTTTTTATTATATATATATATATTTATATATATAATAAATTATATATTTTAAAATTTTTATTTATTTATTCTTTTCATAATTTATATATAAATCACAAAAGTTATGATTTACAATTTGTTCAATAAGATTAAATTTTAAATTTTATTAATTAATCTCATACTTATATAACTTAAATCTTATAATCGGATTAAAAAATGGAATGTTACAAGAAGAACAAATATCATAATTTAAAATTTGACCCATAGGAACCTCTTTTTGTCATTTACACAAAGAAAAAGTTTATTAATATGCATTCTTTCTATGCAAAATCTTCTTCTATTATTGCACAAGACATTTTGATGATGCTGAGAAAGTTAAAGTTTAATCAATTAATTAAATTTAAAATTTATAAATCAATATGTTGATTGGAACTTTGATTTCAAAATCTAAAGACTTGCTATAATTTGAGAATTTATTGGTCAACTAGAGATTCAAATGTGTTATTTGAATTAAAGGAGTGATTGGATTTGAGATTTGAATAAGGAATTGAGAATTTGGACATGAGAATTGGGAATTAAAGGCAGAAATAGGGAATTTTAAGTTATATCGCGGAATTAATAATATAATTAGCTCTTGTGTTGACAGGTAAATGTATGATTATTATGAAGATTGATCTTGATTCCAGGGTGATTGACATTGTTTCACCCTCAATGTCGCCAACTCTATGTTTAGTATGAGGAAATTAGAGGAGCAGGAGGGGAGAGAAAAATTTAACAATATTAATTGAAGAGATTGAGGAAGTGTGGTTATAAAAATTTGATTAAAAAAATGCAGGATAAAAGAGTAAAACAAATTAATTAAAAAATTTTAGAAAAAATCACAAAAAAAACCTCTGAAATAGAAAAATTGTAAATAAGGATTTATGACAATATTAATTTGGGTTTTGACAATACTAGTATAGGTGTTGATAACAATTTTTGTAAATGAGTTCTATGTATAATTTTTCTATTTCAGCACTCTTTTTTTTTTTTTTTTACTATTTTCCCAAACTTTTAATCCTACTTCATCAAGTTTTCAAAACAAAATCATTCAAATTTTCCTGTTCCTTCGCTTTCTTTTATTCCATTTTCCTCGTACCAAACAAACCAAAGGCCGCAGGTGATTAGGACTAATTTATCTCGCATATACATGTGGTCAGGATTGCCAGTGTAATTTGATGTATGAAAATATATTCAAACATTGTGAAATTTGTAATTGGTATATTTGTGACAAATCTTATTATATGAATATTTCGCACTCGTTAAAAGTATGATTTTTCAACAAAAATTTGATTTTGACCATACGATGAAATTTTATGAGGTTGTTTACATAATTTTAACCAAATTTAGTTAACAATGCATGAGATAAATAATAATCTTATAGATATTTTTGACAGAAGAATACAGATACCCTAACACAGGAGATCTGATCTTATTAGTAGTCTGTATATATATATCTGACAAAAATAATAAATTATAAAAAATTCATTATTTATAAATTTCGAATAGTGCCCCGCTGCATACTCTATAAAAGTACCGATCTATAGTCAAATTTTATTCCAAAAATGACATGTAATAAAAAGTTGGTCTCTTATTATTTTTAATTTTGAAATATAAAATTATTTTTACTCAAAATTTACTTGTGAGCGGAAAAATACCCCATAATTTTGTTTGTTCTTCAAAATAAGCGGAAAAATGACCATTATTTATATCAGATAATTTTAGAAATATGAAAAATCAGCTATTCAATTTAATAAAAACTTTTCCAACTTGCTATTAGATTTTAGTCTTCAAATCACTCAGAATAATTTCTAAAATTAACGATCCTTCAATGTAAAAACATCTTAAACATAAATTTCTCTTTCACAATATTATCCTTTTATCATGGGAAAGATGGGAGCATAAGAAGATCATAATAAAACAGTAGTGGTTAAGTGTAATCCACGTGGATGGAAGCCACATGAGATGAGGATGGAACTAACTAGTCCTCATTGGTCCAAAATCTATCCACGATAGCTTCTCAGATTTCTTCTGCAGATTTTCTTGTCCGATTTGGCCCTTTAAGGAAACCGCTGTAGATTTTCTCAATCGCACGCTCCCATACATAAAACTCTCACTATCCCCAAAGAACATACTTCAAGCCATCTGTCTCTGTTATTTTCTCTCATATTCTCGAGAAGGGTTTCAGAGGAAGCGAGAGTCGGAGGGAGAAGAAATGGCAGCTGCTGCAACATCTGGTGCTGTGTTGAATGGGTTGGGATCTTCCTTCTTGTGTGGAGGAAAGAGAAGCCAATCTCTTTTCTCTGCTAAATCTAACGGTGCTGCTAACAATGCCGTTAGCCCTAAGAAGTTCTATGTAGCTGCTGCTGCTATTCAACCCAAGAAATCTTGGATCCCCGCTGTTAAAGGTGGTGGCAACTTCATCGACCCCGAATGGCTAGATGGCTCGTAAGTCCCTCCCATCTTGTTTTTACTCATTTTCCTGGAAAATTCTCAAACTTACGTCACAGAAGATAGCTTAAACAAATCAGTCATGAGAAGATACTTTAACATATCACTATATCAGACGTAGATCCCCTTCAGACTAACTGTGTATGATGTGATCTGATATCTGATATCCCCTTGTGAGAATTTTATTACACCTCAGTTTTTCTGCTACCATGTTCATTGATCAATCTCTGTTCAAAATTTGCAATTGCAGGCTCCCAGGAGACTATGGCTTTGACCCTCTTGGCCTTGGCAAGGATCCAGCATTTCTGAAGTGGTACAGAGAAGCAGAGCTCATCCATGGCCGGTGGGCGATGGCGGCGGTCGTCGGAATCTTTGTTGGCCAGGCATGGAGCGGAGTTCCCTGGTTCGAGGCCGGTGCTGACCCTTCTGCCATTGCTCCTTTCTCCTTTGGCTCACTTCTGGGCACACAGTTGCTGCTTATGGGGTGGGTAGAGAGCAAGAGGTGGGTGGACTTCTTCAATCCTGATTCACAATCAGTGGAGTGGGCCACGCCGTGGTCAAGAACAGCCGAGAACTTTGCCAACGCCACCGGCGACCAGGGATACCCTGGAGGCAAATTCTTCGACCCATTGGGGTTTGCAGGCAAAATCAAGGACGGGGTTTACATTCCTGACAGAGAAAAGCTGGAAAGGCTCAAACTTGCTGAGATCAAGCATGCTAGGATTGCTATGTTGGCTATGCTCATTTTCTACTTTGAAGCTGGACAAGGGAAAACACCCCTTGGTGCTCTTGGCTTGTAAACAAAACATTAATGTGTAGATAATTGAAACTGAAGCTAGACATTTTGCATATGAATCTCGTCTTGTAGGGGTACTGAGTGGTTCCCCCTAGGAAATTCAAATTGTCTTCTGATCTTGGAGTTGCATGCATGAGCGTGAATTGTGTAATGATGCATGGTTCTGATTGTGAGGAGATATGGGAAACGCATAGTTAGGTTTATATGAAATCAGTGTCATCTAATGTGCTAATGACCCTTTGTCAGAAGCAAGAGGATTGACAGCATACAGAAGAATTCTAAAGCAGACTAAATTTGCCAAACTTAAATAAACCTAGTTGGTCTTGACGGTTATGAGAGCATACTAAGCAAATTCTTCAACCAGAACTACATGTATCTTTAATTAGTTGGATCTATTGGTATTCTACGGAACAAAACTACTTGATCTTTTAAAAATGTCATCTGATTTCTAAATATCATATCAGATGCTAATCAAATCCCTTCATCGACTTAAGTTTGATAAAGAAAAGAAAACTACCAGAAAGTGAAGCTATATCTTGTTGGATGTTAAGGCATCCTTAAAACTGGAAAATACAGCAAAATGCTCGTAAATCCTCGTCATCCTCAGCAAAGCCAGACCATGGATTACGTAAAGATGTTGAACATAAGACAACTATAGTAATAATGATGACGACGACAAAAAGCACAATAAATTTTGGATATATTTGACTTGAAACTGTACATGTCTATTCCAGCAAAGAAGAAATTCTCATGAGAACCTCCCACTTGAGGTTGCCACATCACGAAGCATCCAACTTGTGCCATAGCCTGCATCAGAAGAATCTATCACATTCATCAATTCTAAAGCAGTTAGATAGAAAATTCTATATACTACTGAAAATTTTTCTTGTATTTCAGGATTTAAATTGTTCCAATGCCTGAAAACATCTGAGTCACATGAGTTATTTTTGTTTTGGTGTTTTCAAACCGAAATTCAAGGTTCTGGAATTTAGCTCCAAGCTCATTCAATGAGTGAAGTTAAGAAGTTAACGACATTGAAAATAATAAATGATCTTGAACTTTTAAGGAGAAACGAAGGAGTGTGGTATACTTGTGCAATCAAGATGATGTTGGAACAATCGCGTTGCATTTGCAAGTTGCCATAACTTTTGTCTCAAGAATTAAGCAATAAGCAATCAGAATACCTAGGCGCATCATGTATGTTTTCACAAAATGGACACAAATTTCAGGAGGTATAACTAGAAACCGGATTCCGTTCACACGGCGTACAAGACTATCAGTTACAAGAGGGCCAGAGGGGGTAGCTCCAGCATTGGACTACCTGCACCAGAACGCCAACTGGCACCCCAACACCGTCCCTCATTGAAATTTGAAGTCCTCAAACGTCCTCTTTAACAAAGACGACGAACCCCTCGTCTCCGACGACGGTGTCGCCCCCCTCATAAACCCACCCACAGCAACTCAACGCATGGTCATATTCAAATCACCGAATACGAACACATGAAAACACCCAAGAAGTAATCTGAAGTTTGGAGCTACGGCTTGCTTCTCATCGAACTTTTAACAAGCAGAGTATCTACGCGCACGGCGCCTTCAGGTGTTCAAGGATTGGATCTCCGCAAATAGGTTGGCAGAGCGGTGAGAGAAGAAAGGACGGCTGAGATTTTCGACGACGAGATTGCTGAGGAAAGAAAAGCTCTTTCTGGGATGCTGAGGGTGCTCAAGATAGCGAATCATCACATCAATATATGAAGATTGAATTGAGATTCCGGCTTGAGCCTAATCGTAAGTGTTTAGAATACGTGAGGATGATGTCTTTTTCACAACAATGAAGGGTTTAAAGCTCACCAAAAATAAAGAAAAAAAAGGCAATAATAATAAGAAATCAGATGAGAGAGATTCACTCCTTAGAAGTTGGCGTGCACAAGCAGGTGTTGCAACCAGCACGAGAGTTAGTTATTCATTCGTGGAAGAGCAGAGGCTGAAGAAATGAAATTTTCCCGCCAACGAAGGGAAGAAGATCAGGAGATGTACAAACGGGATATGGGTGGTCCGGTAAGTCAACGGATGAGATTGCACGATAATCAACGGCTGACGTTCACTCCAGAGCATGAACAGAAAACGAGACGACAGTCGTTTCAACATGCTATCACCCAAATTTTTAACTTGGGACTGCACGCTGGTTTGTATAAGCTTCGTATAAACTTCAAATAAATATGAAAAAAAAGATGAAAGAAAAAAATATGATAAGAGAGATTATAATTAAAGAGGATAAATAATTAAGAATAAAATTAGAAAAAGTACATTAAATATTAAGATAAACACTATATTGAAGCTTATAAAGTAAATCATTTTTTTCTTCGCATTTGAAGTTTATAAGTTATAAATAAGACTAGAATAAATATTTTGTATGCATTTAGTATTTTAAAATATTTTTTATATACATTTAATATCTCAAAATATTTTGTAGTTAGTACTTTTGCTGAAATATTTTTTTAGATACGTTTAACACTTTAAAAAATATTAAAAAAAATACTTTATAGTGTTTAATATATATTCATTTAAGAAACGTCTTGAAAAATTAATAACAGAGTTAAAATTATTTGTGAAATAATATTTTCAAAGACAATTGCTTCTAAGAAAATTAATACTTTAAAAGTAATATTATACTATAAAATATTTTACTATATTGGATGTGTATGAAAAAATATTTCAGAATAATAATCGCATCACAAATATTTTAGGGTGTTAGATACTTATAAAAAAATATTTTAAAAGGTTAGACTTAACCCTATTAACTTTTTGAATGCAGAATTGCAGATTATTAAAAAGTAATTTAAAAAATTAATACACCTTTTTGTATAAATAATTAATAATTAATTTGATTAATTTTTAATATTTCTAAACTAGTTATTTTTTTGACCAGATTTCTAACCTAGCTATAACTACATTTTAGGATATGAAATATATATCTATATTCTTCTCCTTATATTTTGTAAAATTATAATATAAAAAAATTTATATTTAGGACTGAGGAGCATATTTTTAAAACATCTTATTGCAAATTTGTTATGTTTTCGGTTTAATCCCTTCCCCGCCCAACTTCCCCCAAATTAACCCTAATTTTTTGAGTCCAAAAAAAAAAAAAAACCCTAATTTTTGATCTCTCTTCGTCCCTGTTAAAAGGAGATTGATACTGTCTCTATGACATGCGTTTGACAGAGATTACGTGCGCGGTGGTATGAGCTCCAATTTTTGAAGCACTGATTTATAGAAGTAAAGACAAGACTAAAATGAAGAAGAAGAAGCAGCAGCGAGGCGGAAATAAGAAAAAGATGACTAATGAGCAGAGCCTGGCTTTCAAGTCTGTAAAGGAATGGGTTTTCTTGAGTCAGCCCTCTTCTTCTTCTGCTGCTTCCTTTGTCGTCGATGATTTTGGAGTGCAGAAGAGTCTGGGAAGAGGTGGGGAGAAGGTTGTTTTTGAATTGCATTCACATTCGAAATTCAGTGATGGGTTCCTGTCCCCTTCCAAGTTGGTTGAGAGAGCTCATAGGAATGGGGTATGTTACATGTGTTCTTTTACTCAAACCCGATTTTGTTGTCCGAGCATGACTTAAGCTTCATCTGTGCTGTTCAAGTATACTTTTGTTCTAATTTAGGTAACGATATACGATCCTTTCAGGATAAAATCTAAGTGAAACCAGGTAACTTTTTCAGTACTAAATTGATTTAAGAATCTAAGAGGGGACCAGTAAATAGAAGGATCATCCTTCAAGCATTAAAATGGGATTTTTATCATTCAAGCCTTGCTTCGTATTGTGATGCTTATGCCTTTTAAAGAAATTATGGCTCAAACTAAAATATGGAAACTTGTTGAATGCCTTTTGAAAAGGATTTGGATATCTTCGATTCCATGGTGGATACGCATATCTAAAAGAAACGGAATCATAGTAGCTTCATTTTTCCAGTAGTTTGCACAAGAGGATGAAGGATTGAGGCTATGCAAATAACGTCTCATTAAAACCTTGGAATCATGTCTGCTTGTAAGATATGCTTGAAAGAGTCCATGACAGTGGTATTCATCTTTTGAGTGATGCTTGAAAGCCTATTTACTTATTATAATCCTAAACATTAACCTATCATAGTCTTATGATGTGGATTTCTAAGCCTAAATCCTATAGCATAAGAACCTTTGTATCTGTCATAAGTTTCTTTATTTGGTCTTGGGTGCCAACTCTCTTTCTTTCCCTCTGTATGATTGACATTAGGATTAGTAGAGTGTGATGTCAATAGTGGCAAACTTCTGAAAAGAAAATGCTGCTAATTGATTACTTTTATTTCAAGTTAATTCAGAAGCTTTGCTACCTACAGTTATAGAAAATGGTTAGGATTTAATTTTTTAGCATTGGGCTATGTTTAGTTGATACTATTTGCTCATAACAGGTAAAAGTTCTTGCTCTGACAGATCATGACACAATGTCTGGCATTCCTGAGGCTCTAGAAGCAGCTCATAAATATGGCATTAAGATAATTCCAGGTGTGGAAATTAGTACAATTGTCTCTCCTAGGTAATATTCTGGATTCTGATGCCTATGAAATGCTACTGCTGTTGTGACTCTTATCTGTCCTAGGTACCCTTTAAGTTACTCTTATTTCTTCACTATAATTGGAGGGGACTGGGGAGATTGTGAAAAGTATAATTTTGTATTAACTAATTCATAAAAGTTATAAAGCCTCCATCATACTCTTTTGATTCATAATATCATTTAATCTGCCATGCTTATGATGTATGATCATCAACTGGCAGTGGAGAACCTGAAGCAGAGGAACCAGTTCACATATTGGCATATTACAGCAGCTGTGGGCCAACAAGGTTCGACGAGCTGGATGAGTTCTTATCAAATATAAGGGATGGTCGTTTTGTTCGTGCAGAGAACATGGTCCAGAAACTGAATAAGCTCAAGTTGCCTCTTAAGTGGGAGCATGTTTGCAGGATTGCAGGCAAGGGTGTTGCTCCTGGGAGGCTTCATGTGGCCCGTGCTATGGTCGAAGCAGGTTGTGTGGAGAATCTCAGACAAGCCTTCTCCCGGTATCTTTTTGATGGTGGACCTGCTTACTCTACGTAATACTGCAGAACTTGCTCTTATAAGTCATAATGCTATAGTAATACTTAGAGAAAATAATTGACATGACATTTGTGTTTCAGAGGAAGTGAACCACTGGCAGAGGAAGCAATAAAAATGATTTGTAATACAGGTGGTGTGGCTGTACTGGCTCATCCATGGGCATTAAAAATCCTGCTCCCATTGTCAGGAAGTTAAAAGAAGCTGGCCTTCATGGAGTGGAGGTGTACAGAAGTGATGGAAAACTAGCAGGTAAATTGTTGCTGCTTAATCTTGAGTAAATCCTAAAATTCACTCAAGTTGATAGTCCAAATTTGAACTCTTTCACTTCAATCTTCTGAAGCAGTTTTCTTCCTTGAAATCTTTCTTTGAATTGACTAACATGAAATTAACTAGTATATACACGTTTTACTATAATAGCCACCAACCGCACCCTTAAATGTTAAGTCGGTGACACATAAAACTTGGGGGGGAAAAAGTTTACAGGAAATGTCATTATGTGAAGTTTACTTCGGCATTTTGCATATGAATATGAATGTAATTTAGCAAGCGAAAGGCATTTCGTCTATTTAATGGTGACGCTGCCATTTTGTCAACTTTTGTCACTAGTTCCACGTCAGTTAATTTATAAAAGGAGATAGAAATCACTTTCAAGAACCGAAGTAACAATATTCAAATTCGAAGCACTGGATTGAAAGGTTTATCTCAATTCACTCTTGTTTTTAACGGTAATCTGGCGGATAAATTAATGGCCATGCGCTCTTGAAATTTCTTTTGCATCTTGCATTGCTAACATCTGGAGTGTCAAGTCTAGTTGGTCAACATGTGAAATTCATATACTGTTAAATCTGTACTGACTTCTCATTCTTATGTGATCTATGCCAGACCACCTATCGAAGTAAAACCTTCCCGCCAAGATTTTCTTGTACCCAAGCATTCATTGTTATGTTTAACTTTTGGCTTGCAGCATACAGTGACCTTGCAGATACATATGGCCTTCTTAAGGTTGGAGGCTCAGACTACCATGGAAAAGGAAATCGCAACGAATCTGAACTGGGAAGTGTTAACCTTCCGGTCTTGGTGCTGCATGATTTCCTCAAGGTTGCACGACCTATATGGTGTCACTCCATCCGGGAAATTCTAGAGATTTATGCTGAGGATCCTTCTGATTCGAATTTAACGAGAATCACAAGGTTTGGGAACAACCGGATTCTGAAGTGTGGTTCATCCTTGAATTGCAGAAAGGACTTGATTGATCACTGCTTACCTCTGTGGTTGACTAGGGAAGAGATGGTAAATGCAGATTTTGAGGCTATCAAATTAAAGCTTTCCGGTCCTCCTGTTAATGAGGGGAGAGTTCAGGTTCTTGTTGAGGCTACATAATTCTTAAATTGAATCTTTTACGGTGGGGAATGACTCCACTTTGAAGCTTGTTTACCCACTTCATCCCCCCCCCCCACCCCAATATATCTCAAAATACAGGATATGCTGTCAAGAAAATAACTTAAGACGATCAATTACAGTACTCCTATTTTTTGGTGTGACAGAACCATGAGGCGTAATACTTACGTGTCGTTTGTTTTTGCATCTGATGTCTAGGGTTATTAGCCACCATGACTAATTTGGATAGGGGGCTCTGGCTGGTAGCTACGTAGACCTTTTGTGAAACAAATATGGTTTTAGAAAAAGCAAAAAGAACCCATTTTTAGTCTTCATATGAAGGCTTCCGTCGAACCACGGACAGTTTAACATTATTAATTATAAATGTAAAATATAACGTCATAACAAGTCTGTTATTCATAATTCATGATTTTTAAAGTCTATTTCTCAAATGTTATAAAATGTATGAATCAAAGATTTTTGTTAATGCAATGGTCAAGGTAGATAAAGCGAAAGGCGGTGCTACGCTTGGTTCAGTCAGTCAGTATATTATGTAAGATGACAAAAAGAATTCAATATAGCATCTTGGGAGTCGGGGTCGGCTTTGCTGTTTTCTTCTTTTAAACAATTAATTCTCTCTCCAAATTTGGTATATAGCTTTGTATCCCTATCAAGTCGATGCTACTTCTATGATTAAATCTTAATCGACGAGGATAAACTTTGAAGTTCTATGATAAAATCCCTCAAATGCGTGGAATGCATCGTGGCTCCCATGATTGTCCAATTGAAGTTTTCAAAATTGACACTTCCTTTGAGATCAACCATGGATCTAGGAGGAACGGAAACTCTTCCCAAAAAAAAAAAAAAATACAAACATTGTATCTTTTATAAGACCCACAAAAAAATACTACTATCTTTGATCTTAAATATAAGATCTAGTTTATAGTAAACACACGTAACAAAATAGATCTTATGGTTAGAACTGGAAATAATACTATCAATGTCATCGGCATTATGCATAAACAGACAAAACAGACGGCCACAGAATATGATCTTACAAGCCTTTTGTTAGCTTTCTTGGTCTAGACTTTTTGGCGTAATGATATCTGAACTTAAGATTCTTGGAAATAAGATTGAAATGAGTTTAACGTAAGTTATGAGCAGTAAAACTCACCAATCAAACTTTATATAATGGATGCAGAAACGTGATTGATTCCAAATTCACAAATGTGAAAATGTTGGGTAGAGGATTCAGCTTTTAAGCATTGAAAAATATCTGAACACTTTGATTCAAGCTTCTGTACTAGAATCCATAGTTCCATACATAAAACCTACAGGTTACAGAAATGTAAAGGAAACTGACTACAACAAATGGAAAACGTGAAAAATCCAGAAATCCATAAAAAAAATAAGCAAATCTTTCCACAAGATCACAAAATTTTGGTACTTTTACATGATCACATTTTGATCAGCATACACTGCACCAAACAACCAAGTGCATCATCACATGCAGATTCAATCTAGACATTTAGAGCATAAGGGTTAATTGGTGCCCACATCACCCATACTTTCCAATCTCCATCTTCTTTTTTAAACTTCTCTTACCATAATATACGAATGAATCTACTATTCCAGCAACAGTGAATATACCTGTGCAGAAAGACAGAAATTCATTGGTAATCAATTGCATCATTATGAGGAATATAGTGGTAGTAGTGTACATATCCATACTTCCACATGCATAAAACCAAAGACTATGTGAATAGTTCGCTATCATTACAAATGCCCTCACATGAAATCTCAAAACTCGAGAGTAGATGACATTGATAAGAATCGAACTCCTAATCATTTGGTCATGGAAGCGGCGTTTATCATTCCAATAGCTAGTACAACATGCTAATCAAACATGTGCACAGACTATGCAAGTTTTCCAACAGAAATTTAGTTAGTCAGTTAAGTTACCGGCACATTCTAATGAAGAAGCAGACATAAGTGAAAGCAAAGAGAAAAGTGATCAGTTTTCAGGCCACATATTATTGTACTCTCATTTGGTTTGTGAGATGGAATGGAATGGAAAAGAAAATGAAATGAAAAAATAAATAAAAAAATAAAAAAAAAACATTTTAAGCATATAATATCAATTAATAATAAAAATACTTGTTATCAAGTAGTAATTAGACGGATATAATAATTTCCCATCTTGATTGTTGGGCAGTGGAAAGGGTTCCTTTTCATTGGTGCTAAGCAAATGGGTAGTTGTAGTCTAATTATAGCAGCCATGATTTTTACGATCTTCACTCGAATAGAATCATATTATATGTGATTCCTAAGAAAATGTTAACTTATTTTTAGACATGACAAAAACAGAAAAAAGAAAGGGGGAGGAGCTACCTCCAACGATGGCACAAATGTTGGTAAGGAAGTGAAGAAATGGAACGTGTTCCTCCTTAAAGTTGACCTGCAACATAAAATCATGCGCTGTTACAAATTACCAAATGCGCAACCATTTTTCTATGGTTTCAAATAAACTAAATTCTTTTGTTCAACAACTTTTCCAGTTCCTCAACATGATAGAAGAAATTGTACAGAGATCTCAATTGACCCAGAAGTTTGTATTGTATACGGCAGAATAAATTTTAAGGGAAATGAAATGATGCTATCAAAATAACAACAGTTATAGATGTTTTAGTTGCGCCATGCAGAAGAGCTAGGCTTCAAATTCATACTTGAGATTAAGGGCACGAAATGCTATTAACAAAGAGACATTTGCTTACCAACAACAAAACCCTGCGTTTTTCTTGCCATTTAAAATTTAAACAGAGAGTTTTCCAAGTAGGGTTGTCTTGATAGAAGTTTTGGAGTCAGCTGCTTGTGGTTTTTTTTCCTCGGCGGTACAAGCTGATTGCGTGTTGTTTTTTAAGCGCTTATATGCAGGGAATAATTTTCAGCTTAGAAAGTTCTACTAGAAACAAAAAATTTTCCAGCTAACATACATTGTTACAGGTCGACCAAATTCATCTAAAGATGAAAACGGAGTTCATTACAGGAAAACTAAACAGGGGGCATATAAAATTAATCATTAATGTAAATTTTATGACCACACAATTCAGCACAATTGGGAAGTACATTGATAGACAGAGTTAACAGTAAGTTAAGGGAAAATCTAAAAGCATTTCACTCAATTGGCTAGTCAGATTTAACAGTTTTACCTTGATAGGATTTATGTCATAAAAGAAAAAGACTCCAGGAATTGCACCAAACTCTGAACTCTTGAAATGCTCTGTCACAGAATACTGTGCAACAACACAAAACATGCCAATTAGGCATTATCTAAACAGCACCATGGAATAATAGCATTTTATTCTTAATTTGTAATACCTGATTTGAATAGGTAACGCGGCCCCACAGATTTGTGTAAACTGTAGGGACCACCTGCAAGCGTACACATAAATACAAGCACACGTGAAACTCAGTACAAAAATGAATCAACAAGATATGTTTAAATTTAAATACAAACAGTTTCTCGTTTTCAAAAGGAAGATGAACATATCTCTACCATTTAATGCAATAGTTATAGGTAAGAATTAAATATGTTTCTTCTAGTGAGCAAGAAAGGTTAATAACAAAATAGAAATAGTTTAATGTGTCTGCTTAGACACATAAATAGGATTCATAACAAAGATGGTTCAGATTTTTTATAACATTAAAAAAAAAGGTTGAATTTGGTGTATACTAACATCATTATTTAGGAGATTTTTTTTTTTTGGTGGCCAAACATTGAGCATATAGTTGACACTCAAAAGACTGCAGAAAATATTTAACGAGAAATTATCCGAAGATACTACTAACCTTGATGAAATACTGGTACATACCATGGTGTGGTCCTTGCACCCACTGTACCCTGTAAAGGATTGAAAAGAAGAAATGAAGGGGATCTTAAATGGTTTGGAAAAGAAAATTATAGATGAATAATTCTCAATCATAACAGTATTCCACACACACACTCGTATTTTACTCGTAAATAAATTTGCACACAGAGACAAACTACATCTTTTAAATTTCAAAGAAAAAATTATCTTAGCAAGATAAATATAAAATCCACATGTAAAACATGCCTACATAAATTATCTCTTGCAGAACCGCAAGAGATTTCTAAATCATTTGTACCTAGTCAATCCAACTTCCGGTTATATTAAAATGAAAATTGCACAACATCAGGTCAACATTTTAAAAGAAAACTGGATATGAATTTTTGAAGTCAAATTACTTTAAAACCATCCTTGTCAGTTGAAAATAAAGACAGAAGAAGAAGAATTACCCGTCAAGAGGATTTACCAATCCAGGGAAGTGATCACCAAAACTTAACTTGTTGATTCGATGGCTGATCTGCAATATGCATCAGATTTTGCAAATCAATTTTGAAATACATGTAGCAAGCATTGAAAAATCAACAATTCCACAGCAAAACATTACAAGGTCATGGCAATAGATATTAGAGGTTCACTGAGTCTTACATTATGATTATCCTGAAAAGCAATCAGATCAGCCAGAAAGATAGTCGCCTGATGAATGCTTTTCCCAGTGGCAAAATGAAAATTTCCAGCCACCTTATTAACCTCGAGGGATCCATGGATATTGCATCCTTCACCTTCTTCATCTTTTACCCTCTGTATATAACCTTCTCTTCTACACTGAAAGCAAATTGTCAGGATCATAAAGTATGAGCTGACACAGATTTCATATTATAATCAAAAAACATATGTGAGCACATGACCAGAGAAATCATATATCAAGGGTAGATTTTGAAGAAAACCTCAACACTTGTTAATATGTAAATGAGCACTACTAGCAGTAGCAGAAATCATGTATAAACCATGACATTAAAGTAGGTCACCATTTGTGACCATGCGAAGAATATAATAAAGTTTATGTCAGCAACTAGCAGACTGTTCTTTATTTTTGCAAATGACTTCAACAAAAACACATATGACATAATGTTTACAACCTTATAAATGCGTCATTTGAATTCACAGAAAATTTCAGTATAGGTAGCTTGAAAGAACAAAGGTACCACTGCCAACCTGGTCAATCAAATCCATATTTGATACTGCCCAACCCTTTTTCTTGTATGCATCACGCACTTCTTCACAAGAATTACAACAA